AAATCGAGATTTTTCAACTTCAAGATTTTTTGTGTCGAAACTATTCATAATTGGTCAAAACGGTTTCCATGTCCCTATCTCAACTTTTCATTTACTATCAATTGATGTGTAATTGAAATAGGTACAGGGTGGTTCAGAATTAAGATTTTCAACCACCCTGTATCAATTTCGGTTGAATATCAATTGTTAGTACATGAAAAGTTGAGATAGGGACATACAAACCGTTTTGACTAATTATGAATGGTTTCGACACAAGAAATTCTTGAAGTTGAAAAATCTCGATTTTCCACACCCTATATATTTGTTATCATTCCCGCTAGACCCCAAATGTAATAAATCGATGAAATCAGCTCTTTAGGAAGAATATGAAAATGGATCAAAGATGTTTTCGATATAAGAGGCAACGTCGCTGTGTTGAGAATATTTTAGGTGGATAAAACACAATAATTATCCAAGAGACCAAATTTTCAGTATAATCAATCCTATGTTGCGTTCCCCAAAAACGTCTAATGTGCCATCCATCGTGAATCAGCCTATATATATCTTGTATACAATAATTGGTGTCCTTATACTCAGTATTTAGTAGTAGTTAGAAATATGTCATGTGATTTGACCATATTTGGAATGAATGACATGAAATGAAAGTAGGACTCGATGCATAAGCTCAATGGAAATTGTTATGATCCATCATTTTCAAGCGTGGTAAACGTAATTTTATTTTTTTGTTGGGGATTATAATCATCCTGAGAAACAATAAGTCTGGCAACACCGCTCTGCCGTCTATGTAACCATGGTCACTCAATGTAGATAGAATATTTTGCTGATTAATGTCGGTGTTGAAAAATATGTATTTTGTAAAGTTATAATGCTAAAATAAAGTGAAAACTAAGTGTTGATTCCATTATTGAGTTTGCCAAAAACAACCAAAATTTATCAAGAGGAATTTCCCCTAGGCTTTTGTCACCACACTACAACTCCGAAACACCCTGTATAGAAGGTAACCTTGTACTTCAGTTTTTGTTTATATGTAATGTTATATACCTGTTTATTATAGTTCATTGGACAATTATTCATATTTTATATTAGCTGTTAGTGTCAAACTCAATGGAAAACCACAGAAACTATTAGTTTTGTTAAAGTTTCACTTACATAATATTTGATTATTCCCATTTCACACAATGTAAAATTGAAAAAAATTGAAAAAAAAACACGTGTTGGAGGGTTATCTAGACCACCTAGAATAGGTTTATTTACCATGTACATATATGTAGGGTGTTCCAGTTTAAATATCAAAGTTATGATCATTCCTAAAAGTCAACATTGGCAGCACCCCGTAAGATGACTCTAAATTATGACTTCATTGAAGCAATAGACGGAGTATTATCGAAGATCAGCAAACATATTGAAATCAACATCTGTGTATTATAATTTTTCGAAATATGAGCAAAATTTGAAAAAAATATGATTCATAGAGGTCCGCGCTCAAAAAACATCCTTTAGAAATCAAAATAATTCATATTCATAGACTTTCATCACTTATTGCAATGGAGCTATAGAGTTTTTCCACATACGAGGACACCCGATATACAGGGTGATTCAAAATTCGATGTAAATATATCAAGGACGTATTGTTGGGATCAAAATAAGACTTTTTTTTCTCCGATTGGCAGCAAATATTGATTCTGCTGACACATATCTATCAGCAAAGTATTACTTTTCCTGCCTAGGCAGCAAAGTGGGTACTTTGCTGATTGATATGTATCAGCAAAATTAATAATCCATAAATCGTTTATAATTTCCGTCATATTTCATCCGAGACTTCTCCGGCAACAAATTCAACTCTATATTTTTTGCCACCTCCCTCATTTCTGGAGGTGTAAGTACTTCCAGGTCGCTATCACTGTCCATTATATGATAATTTAAATAATCCGATATTTTTTCGCACAACTGTCAGAAATTTCATGAATTGTCAAACTATAATTATTATGTACATTTCCATAGCAACCAACCTTTCCAACAACTGCGATTTCTAGCAAATTTTATTTTAAGCTACGCTCGGCTATGAATTCAGCCTCGGCAGTCATTCTACTACTTTGCTGCCTAGTTAAACAATTAACTATTTCTCCATATAAACATGTGTCCTAGTTATTATAGTGATTTGTTATACAAGGGAAAAAAGTAGTAGATTTAAGCTCCAGGTTGTGTTGTCCCCCGACGCGTAGCGGAGGAAGACAAAAAACCGTGAGCTAAAATCTAATATTTTTCCCGTGTATAATCCACTATTATTTTCTGTGACAGGAAAAAAGGCGAATCAATATTGAGAAGATAGGTATTACATTATATTGAAATCAGAAAATTATCGACGTGAAATTTGAAATATTTAAGGAATTACACCTGCGTTGCAGACATCTTTATCATTCGTCTGAAGTAATCAAATATCTGTCAGTCTAATTCTGTGATTTGATTATGAAAAATTGCGAATTTAGTGGTTGTTTAGTAATTTACATAACCGCGATTTCGAATGGCAGATAAAAGGACTTGCAGTTTTTTCTCGAAGACGGTGTTATAGGCTTATTTTTCGGAACTATAGCACAACAAAATTCATCAACAGTGTATATACAGGGTGTTGCGAAATTCGACCGACAACGCTTGATAGGTAATAGCCCTCGTGATTTCATAATCACTGAGATGGGGACATACGGTCTTCAAGTGTTCAGTTCTCGAGATACAGGGCGTTGGAGTTGAAAAATTAAAATACATTTTTTGCAATATCTCAAGAAAAATTGAATATAATGCATTCAAATTCGGTATATGGCTTCATCTCTCAATGGCTCATTTTTTGACCACAAAGACATTCCGAGAATTTTATCCAGAGGTGCGCTACAGGGGGTTGTGATCACTTTTCCTCTCATATTTTCTACGCCACTGATGAAATTAATTTCGATTATTTCCAATTTCTCGAATTGATTGTTCAATTAGGTTGAAAAAATGCATTACCTTCAACTGAGCTAAAATAAACAGTTATCGAGATATTTGACCGAAAATAGGAGTTTGCATAGTAATTTTTCATCTTCCTTAGTAGTAGAATATTACAAAAAAGTTTGTTTTCTCTTTATGCGTGGAATAACTTTTTTGTTCAGTTACAGAATGAGATCTGAATAGTATCTAATTTACTCAACACCAGAAAAATCTTTTTGCAATTTTCTACTGCTGAAAATTATGAAATATTACTATATGCAATCTTCTATTTTGGGTCGAATATCTCGAAAACTGTTCATTTCAGCTAGGTTGAAGGTGATGTATTTTTTTAACAAAATTGAACATTGAATTCGAAGAAATGTTAATAATCGAAATTTAATCAGTGGCGTAAAAAATATGGGAGGAAAAGTTACCACAACCCCCTGTAGGAAACCACTGGATATAATGTCCGGTATGGCTTTCTGGTCAAAAAATGAACCATTCAAAGATGAAACCATATACCGACTTTGAATGCATTATATTCAATCATTCATGGTATTGCGAAACAACTATTTTTATTTCTTAAATTTAACGCCCTGTATCTTCGATTACTGAACACTTATGTCCCTTATCTCAGTGATTATGAAATCACGAGGGCTATCAACTGTCAAGCGTTGTCGGTCGAATTCCGCAACACCCTGTGTATTTATTTATATTAAGATTTTGGTGGTGATTGCACGTTAGAACAATGGAGTATTTGGCATGATGAACATTATTATTATTCACCATCGGCGTGCGATGAAAATAAGCTGTTTGTTTGAGGGGAAAAACGGCATTAGGAGCTTATTTTACCCCATTCATATTTTCAAAATCTCAAGATCTCTACGCTCTGATTCAATCAGAAAAAAAAGGACATAATTTTAAAACCACTTTAACTGACAGTGGTTGTATATTTCTAACTTTTCAGTTTGAATGTCCTGATCCTATTGCGTGTCAAATATCTCCATATTTTGTTTCTCTTCAAATACAGTATTCTCGCAACTAGGTTTTGAAATCCGACGTTCGTCTTTGATTTGAATTTTCCCTCCTTGGTCATGCCTTCAAAACCGCTCCAGTCCTTGCGAACGATCTGTTGATACGGTATAATTGTGAGAGTTTTGTGCTTGATCATCATTTTATCATGTTTTCATTAAATATTTCAGCAACCTGACGTGTAGATCTTTCATCATTACCAAATGATCGTATAATTTCTACATTTTCTCAAATAATTGTGAAAACCACTCTCCAGTTTTGTGTTTCAAAATGTTCTTTTTTTGCTAATATCAGCTGTTGCGATTTTGAAAATATGAATTAGGTGATTTTTGGAGATTCTGATTCTGAAAAGTTATCTTTAACACCGCACGCCAATGTCAAAAAAAAAGTTCACTATGTCGTACTTCACTTTTCTCACATGAAATCACTACCAAAACTTCAGGAAAATCGCATCATCAATAACTGAGATATTATAGGGTGTATTCATGAAGAGCGAGATTTTGATTGGTTTTTGGGAATACTGATTCTCAATCTGATAGAAACAGTTACCTCAAATAAGTCCTAATATCCTTTTACATCCAGCGACAACGCACGCCAATGGTGAATGAAATCTTCGCTACGCCAAAGACTAAATTTTTCTTACATACAATCACCACTAAAATTTTGAGAAAATCGAATCATTGATAACTGAGATATTAGGGTGTATTCATGCAGAGCAAGACACCCTGTATATACATTGTTATTCACGTTATTCCACACGAAGCATTGTGGCTGAAGCATTCAATTTTTTTTTCTTTGGATGAATTGACGTATCAGCGCTACATTTCAAAAATATTTTCATGTTGTACATGGTGTCCCAAAAACACAAAATGTATCAAAGTTGCTATTTTTTGAGCAAAATATTTTTAAAATGTAGCGCTAATAGGTCTCTATCCATCCAAAAAAAACCGAAGAATATGGATAATTCATAGTACGATCGTTGAACGCAATTTTTTATAAATTTTTATTTTAGACTGCTAGAAATATCAAATTGCTAAAAACTATTTTCGAACGTAAATTCACATCCCTAGTGAAAAACAAACAAAACAAATTGCCAACTGTTTTCTGAAAATAATAAATAATACTTTGGTATTATCGCCGTGAACCCCGTTCAGATACAAAAAAAACTAAAAGTTCTTCATTTCATGTGATCATGAACCTGAAGAAATAGATTCAAATGATGAAATAAAAAAGCACTTTCGAATGGAAGATTTGAATCACGAATAAAATAATCAGTCGTGAAATTTTGTCAAACATTCTGAAGAGCATCCAACTTTTTGGCTTCATCAATATTTTGTAATGTGTTCTCACGATGTCTTAGTGGTTTTGAAGCGAAACCATCACGACATAATTCTACAATCTCTATCACATCTCTTCCCCTAGTTTCAGGAAGATAGAATCTGAAAGAAAAAGGGATATGGCATAACATACTGATACACAGGGTAGTGCACAAAAAACGTCCAGTGCTTCTTAACTTCTTAATCATTCGAGGTCGGATTTTGAATTATGTCGGGTAGCATGTATCCCAAATTGCCTGTCAGTGATAAAAGATATTCATTTTATTCACAACCATGTATGTAATGTTGTCATTATTAACGTCATTGAAGGATGGGAAGTGTCACATTACACACCTCTACTTCCCCCCTCACTTCCCGCCCCTCACTACTACCCGCCCTCACTTAAGTAATATTTTAGGTATTTTCAGAACGAAACAGAGATTCGTTTTGATCGAAATATGATGGTTGTAAATAAAATAGTATATAAACCTAGGTAGGAAGTTTCATTCCTGTCTCGAGATCATAGCCAACATTGGTTTCTGGGGGTTTTCGGGGTCGGAGATTATGATTCTTCCGTCAAAATTTGAAAATTCTGGCGGAATTTGGAAATTCATGATGGCGGAACCAATATGGCGGACGAGTTTTGTAATTATAATCCGATTCTTTTTCAAAATTGGTACCTAGCGGTTTTCGTTAAAATTAAGAAATTCAAGATGGCGGATCCAAAATGGCAGATTTTGTAATTAGGATCCAATTTTATTCAAATTTGGTATCTGGTGGTTCTCAAAATTTAAGATGGTGGACCCAATATGGCGGACGAGTATTGTTATTATGATCCGACTCTCTTCAAAATTATTATCTGGGTGTTTTCGGGGTCGGAGATTATGATTCTTTTGTCAGAATTTGGAAAGGGCGGGATTTGGAAATTCAAGGCGGTGGAACCAATATACCGGACGAGTTTTGTAGTTATATACCGATTCTATTCAAAATTTGTGAATGGGCGTTTTCGGGATCAAAAATTTTGATTCCTGCGCCAAAATTAGGGAATTCGAGATGGTAGATCCAATATTGCGGATGAGTTTTGTAATTATGTTCCGTTTATATTCAAAATTTTTATTTGGGGTTTCAGGAGTCGAACATTATGATTTTTTTCGTCAAAATTGGGAAATTGAACTGAAAAGAATTTGAAATCAATTGTACTCTGAAAAACTAAAGAAACACGCTTTTATAAATAGCGAAACTAAAAAGAAGTAGAAAATAGTGTCTTGATGAATATTGAACTGAAAAAATATAATATAGAAATAATGTTTATAGCAAAACAACGTTCTCGAGGTCTGCTAGTTTTCAAATATAACACACTATAGAGGGTGTCCCTGAATTAGCCTGCCAACCTTCACCAGCGACTTCTAAGACCAAAAAAGAAAAGTTCCAATGAACATGAGTCGAAAACAATATCTCCTAAGAGAGATATGGCCCCCTGAATGGAGATTCATGAAGATAATATTTCTCGAATATTTCCGAAACGCCATATGATAAAACGATACAATTCGGTACAAGAACTAAACTTCCCAAGCCCAATGCAGTGAAAATAAAATCATTCTAAAATTTCTAATATTTTACTTTTTCTGTTTGTATATTTTTCGACAATTTAATCTCGGATTATGAAAATCCACACATATTTAGAGAAAACAGGTGCTCTTGTTCCATTTCGATCAGATGTATCATTTTCGAATGAAATCGATTTAAAAATATTGTTATATCTCACATTTTATGCATAACGTTGCCAATTCTCAAATCATAGGAACTATAAAAAATCAACTACTTCGTTTTCACAAAATCTCACAAAGGCGCGTAAAATGGGAAAATAATGATGAAAAACGTCTTCAGTTTTTGTGCATTTTTTTCCATATCCACTACGATGTATTGCAATGTTCTGCATGATATGTGAGATGTAACAATATTTTTGAATCCATTTTACTCGAAAATTATACATCTGATCGATGCGCCACAAGGGCACCTTTTTTCTGTAAAGAGGTGTGGATTTTTATAATGCGATATCAAATTGTCGAAAAATATGTGTACAAAAAAGTTTGAGCAATATTTAATCTAGTTCCACCCTGAATTATACACTCCTGAATGAAATTTTGGAATGATTTTATCTTCACTGCATTGGGCATGGAAAGTATAGTTCTTGTACCGATTTGCATCATTTTATCACATGGCCGTAGCTCCCTTAGGAGGAATTTATCCATTTATGTTCATTAGAACTTGTCTTCCTATTATTGGTCGCAGAAGCCGTTGGCAAAGTTTGACAGGCTGATTTCGGGACACCCTGTACACAGGGATTTCAAACTTAAGTCGGCACTATTGCTGACTTGGTTATTATTGGAATTAAAAAGTCGGTTAAATGGACAAACTTGTGGTATTTTTTCCGCTGATCACGATGATGAAAACGAAACAAAAATCTAAAATCGCGTTTACGAGTTATGTCAAGAAGTTCAAATATTTTAAATAGGAAAACCTGAATACTGTCTGTAGGTTAATCGAGGAAAACCTGTATACAATATTCAATCGATAGGAAATTCGATTCGAAACAAGAACTGTCTAATAAACTTTTATCGTGAATTCAAAAATGACTAAACTATCCACATGGTAGGATAAAGCTACCTACCGTAAGTGATATCTCGACCATCCTCGACTAACAATCACTCTTGACGAATTTGAAAAATCGTCGACAGCTCAGTCATTTTAGAATTTACGATGAAATATTATGGGACCTTTTCTGTTCAGTATCAAATTTTCTACCGATTAGGAATATATTATACTGGGTATCCGATTTAAAATAAAATTACCGAAAATTACCTTTTGACACCTAACAGCCCCATTGATTCCTCAATGTGACCCACTAGGCTATATGACAGATAAGTTCAATTCGGAAACATTTTATTTTCGACCTGTAGACTTACCTGAATTATTAGATACGTTCAGAGAGATTAAAAAAAAGAATGCATGTGGTGATGACGAGTTATACCTGAAAGTTATTGAAAATTTACCAATTCAGGTACTGGAAGTGTTATGTGAATGTATAAACATATCACTTTCCAATGGAAAATTTCCATCAAGCTTGAAAAAGTCTATTGTTGTTCCATTGTTCAAGGGAGGGGATCCATCAGATCCATCGAACTATCGTCCTGTATCTTTATTATCTATCCTATCGAAAATTATAGAAAAATTGGTGAAGAAACAGATTTGTGATTTCCTAGCTAACAAAATATTATCCGCATATTTGGTTTCCAAAGATCGAAAAGCACAAAGGATGCTTTGTTTTCTATGTTTGAAACTCTATGTCACATTGAATAATAAGGACATAGCAGCGGCAGCTTTCTGCGATTTCTCGAAGGCCAACTGTGTTAATCATGATCTGCTTCTCAAAAAACTCAACGTTTATGGGTTCAGAGGCGTTGCCTTGGACTGGTTTCAGTCTTATTTACGGGATCGAGTGCAGACTGTGCGTACTAGCTCCGGGTATTCTGAAGTGGGAAGTATCTCTTATGGAGTTCCCCAGGGATCCGTATTGGGACCTGTCCTCTTTCTTCTCTACATTAATGATCTACCTTCCATCAATATTCATGTTCACTTTACAATTTTCGCAGATGATACTACAATTCTTTGGAGCGGGAATGATACAGAAATACTGGAACAAAATATAAGTACCGACATTGAAGGAATTAAACGATGGTGTGATTCAAACAGCTTGTGTTTCAATATAAGCAAAACCAATATTTTAACGTTCAAATTCAGATTTCCAAACCTAATGCTAGACAATATAACAATTCCTAATAACGAGTACGGCAAATTCCTTGGTATCATAATGGATAATAAGTTGAAATTTGAACCGCATATCCTGAACTTAAATAAAAAACTTGCATCCGGCTGCTTTGCTGTTCGTGTAGTGGCACGCGAGCTGGGTAGGTCTCAAGCTCGAATGGTATATTTTGCTTTGATGGAGTCGAATATGAGATATGGCATCGCATTTTGGGGTTTTTGTAATTTACAAATGATGAATTCTGTCTTTGTCCTCCAAAAAAGGGCTGTAAGATATATTTGTGGAGGTAGATTAGACACTCACTGCAAACCATTATTCATTAGTCAACGAATATTGACAATTACATGTCTCTTTATTCTAGAAACGATTAGTTTGTTGCACAAGAGGCACAAGAATCATTTGTTCTCCAATTGTTATAATACCAGGAACTGTCATAATATTCAACTTCCAATACCAAAATCGACGCTAACAAAGAATTCGCTCATTTATGAAAGCTTGAAGATTTACAATCATCTACCAAATTTTCTAAAGAAGATGCAGAACGAAAAAAGATTTAGGAAGTCTGTTAAAAATTTGCTTCTCGATAAGGCATATTAACTGAATTTTACTGTGATCAACTATGAAATTTTTTCATCTGCACCTTTTGTATTTTATATATTTTGTGTTTGTGTATATAAATATATTTTTTTTTTGTATATTTATTTCAATAATGACGTGTATCATGTACGATTCAACTTTAACTTTATTTATACATTTTTTGTTTTATTGATTTCGATTTTATAACTGTATTTTTCTCAAGTGGCTTTGTCGATAAGATTTCTTTTTCTTGGACAATAAAGCATACTTTGATTTGATTTGACATAACTGGTAAACGCGATGTTAAAATACTACTAGTTTGTCCAATTAACCGACTTTGTCCGATAATTATTATAATCGAGTCTGCAAATTGATATCAATCAGGCGAGACAAAAGACAGTTTTTCGCGGAGGTGCATATTACATTTTTTCGTCGACCTCAAACACTTATATCCACATCACAGTTCTATTCACACGTGTAATCTGTCGGATTCCGTGAATACTTTATTTAGCAACAGCAAATGACAGATTGGTAGTTGTTGTCACCTCACTCTCCGCGCGGACCATGGTTGCCAGTTCGATTATTATTTCATCAGTAAATACCTTGTCAAAGATTCATATCTATTTTATGCTATACGGATTCCAAGAAAGGATAATGAAATAAACCTATGACGTCAAAACAATATGTACTTCTAGCTGAAAGAAAAGTGACCTATTTCCAA